AGCAAAAGGGACACAGATGGCTGTGACTGATAAATATGTCTATTGTTATTTTTTCTGATCAGCGCTTCGTGTATGAAATATAGGAGTGTTAAGATAGTATGAGCAGCAATTTAAAAGGCTGAAATAAATGTTGAGAGTTCATTGTTCTGCTGCAACTTTCTTCAGTGGTGGGGCAATGTAAGTCGAATGTAAGGAACAGCACAGAACCAAGACTGTTTATTTGATATTTATACTACAGGAAAGATAATAATCAGTACTCTAGGACTGTTTTCCCCTGCATGTGAAGACAGGCTCTGGGGGTTTGAGCGGACAAGACCAATAATGGGTCCAACAGTCAAAAAGGCAGTTTCTGCATATGAGGTAGAAGGAAGTTAGGGAAAGATGGGGCTCCTCAACCTGGGACGGTAGCCCATCTAGGGGAAGGAAGACTCTGATCCTAAACCTCCACTGCCTTGTGGGATATCTTTGGGAGAAGAAAAAGCTAAGGAGTAAACCCAAATCTGGAGTGGAGTCCCTAAGATGGTTGGATGGTCCTTTGTACGCCTCCTTCCTGCAACTCCTGCAGCCAACTGGTGTCAAATGTATTCCTCTGCTTTCCTTTGGACCTTATAAACAAGGCCGAGAGGGAGTCTTGTCATTTGGGCCTTGTGCTTTGGAGAGGTCACTTCAGTGCTGCTAATGCAGCAGTTTAACTTCATCCCCGGAGGCACCCTCCATTGTCTCTCGAGACAGATGGATGCCAACAAGTCTGTCTCCTTGTTGTATAAACCAGTCCATGTGTGCTGAGAAAACCTTGGAGTTGTAACACCTGCAGGATATTTTTGCCCCACAAGTGGGGCTGTGGTCAGTTGGGGCATCAGTGGTTGGTGTGTTGGCATTGTTAGTGATCAGCGAATGGTCTATTTATTCTGTTTGGGCCATAGAAGGGAAAGCTATCGCTGGGTGATAGAGCACATGTCTTTCATGTAGAAGGTTATGGGTTTCACTCCTGGTATCTCCAGGCTGAGCTGGGAAAGGCTTCTGAATGACGCTTTGTGTCCAAGTCTGTGGCTTTCAGGGAAAGCTGGCAATATTGATTCATAAGTCAGAGAAAGGCCAGGCAAAGCAGAGGGCATCCAGGACCTTGGACAGATGCAAGGGGCCCTATGAAGGCATCCTGAGGAAAACGTCTCAGCATGGATGCAGATGGGCTACAGTTAGGGGCGAGTGTGAGGTGGTCAAGTTTGCTGTTGTTCAGCGTGGTTAAAATAAAAGGGATTGTGAAGAACTCCAAAAGGATCCATACCAAACAGTGTGGATGAGCCATATAATTATCCTCTTTCCAGTTGTGTTCCTGGTCACAGGGAACAATGCTACGATGTTCCCTGCTGCAACTCTGTGTGGCATAACAAATCACATGTGAGGAGTTTCAAAAGAAGTTTGATGCATTTGAAGCTGGGGGGGCGGGGGAGGCCCAAAATCACAGCGGGAAAGGGTAAGTTGTGTTTTGATCTGGAACATTGAATTGTATCCTGGCCATTTACTTCAGTAGGATTGATATGATGTCCATTATATTAGGTCATCAGCACTGCAGCAAGAAACAGTCGTTTTCCGAAAGCTCCCGTAGTGGGTGTTACAAATGAGCAATAAATAACTCATGAAAAATCCATTCTTTGTTTTTCTTAATAGCCAAAGGAAGGTGAGCCTGCTGAGGCTCAGGCCTGCCCCCTGAGAAGCTTTTTCTTTTTCTTTTTAGAGGCAGTTAAACAGACTTTCTCCAGCAGGAGTTATTGCTCTCTTAAACCAATTTTCAACATTTGTTTGCAGAGCAGTAATTCACAGTGTCTTTCATTTCTCTGATGAACAGCTGATAATTTCTAATAGTATTGATCTTCCTATAGGTTTTTCTGCTTCTAGAAATTTTTTAAATTAAACAATTAATTAATTGTTTTTTGTTTTTGTTTTTTAGTATGGCTGTGCTAGCTCATGGTGGCTTTCATAACAGTTTGTAGTGCTTGAAATGTCTGGTCTAACCTATAAATAGATACCGTATTTCTCGCTCTATAAGACGCACCAGACCACAAGACGCACCTAATTTTTGGAGGAGGAAAACAAGAAAAAAAAAAATCTGAATCTCAGAAGCCAGAACAGCAAGAGGGATTGCTGCACAGTGAAAGCAGCAATCCCTCTTGCTGTTCTGGATTCTGTGATAGCTGCGCAGCCTGCATTCACTCCATAAGACGCACACACATTTCCTCTTTTTAGGAGGGAAAAAGTGAGTCTTATAGAGCAAAAAATACGGTAAATAAATGAATAGCAATAACTTACTTGACAGGATACCTGAAACAAAACATGAGAAAACTAAAATTGTGATTGTAAAGATTATTCAAATAATATATATAAAATACTATGAATGCTTTACAGTATTATAGGAATGTTAAGTGTTAATTGCCAGCAAGTCCTATCACCTTGGTCTAATTCCATGGTGTGATAAACCTAAAAAAGGGAGTTGGGTTAGGATCCTGAATAGGACTGGGCATTATATGTGCACATCTCAAGCTTTTTAAATCGTCTTATTGAGGCAATATATTTAATGTGGGATTCTGCCAAATTCTGTCTGGATTCCAAGAAAAGAATCCTATGTAAACATTCTGTGAATACATCTAACTTCTTTGTATTTGAACTTCTGCCTTTAAAGGACCCTACATGTACCATATGTAGCTCCTATTTTGTCAAGAGTGTAAATTATGAGTCTGGAGCCTAGAAATGTTGAGGGTGTATGTATATAAAAGCTTCTTCTGACAGAACTTCATAAGCACGAAATGCATGAAAGATTGGGACCATTAATTACGACCCCAAGTTCCCCTCCTCCCCTCCTGCACGTTATCGGTTCACACGCAGAATATCTGCAAATGCCTAAGTTCACTGTGGGATGAAAAAAAACCAGCCTCAGTGACAAATCTTTTATGGTGAAATTGTCAAAGGAGAAACACAGTTTGTGTTATTGGCATTAATCGTTTGGCAATCAAGGTATTCTTTACCCTATAATAAAACAGTCTGCATGGGCAGAATTCATTAATGAGAGTTGTGAGGCAATATTGTTAACACAGTACCCACTTGAATGGGGTTAGCGATAAATTCAAGTACTAGGAGGACAACAGTGCAACTTAATAGAGAACCCTTCTATAGAAACCTCTGTCAGGGAGTCAATTAGACTCCATCCAAAGCAGTGTTTATTGTATATGTCTCTTAATAAGCAGGCATTTTCGAAGAATTTTGTTATTTTTTGGCTTCTTTGGGGATATAATTTTAAGACGACTAAAGAAAGTCTGCCCATTTTCCTTTGAGAGAATACAAAGGAATGGGGTTTTGCTTACGCCGCCAAGAACTGTGGCAAATGAAAAAAGGGTGCTCTAATAAGGAGGCATATACTGAAGAGCTAGCAGTGGGTGTGGGTGTGAGAGATTGTGTGTTTGTATGCCTTTAAAACTCTTCAGCTGGCTGTCAGTTCATGTATAGACTTGGATGTGTTAAGATGGCATTATTAACTATTGAAATGATTAAGTTTTTTTATTTTTCATTTTCAAATATTTTCTAACTTCTTCCGAACTGGTGAGAAATGGGTGGACAACTGATTAAAACCCCTTTCTTTATGCGCATAGGGGAGCCTGGATTGGTGAACCTTGGTTCCTGGCCTACTGAATGGGCCGATTCTGATAGAATAAGGGGTTTGGGAAAGGGGACCTACGTCGTCATGAAAGCTCAAGGAGTCTTGGAACAGTGGGGTCTCCTCTGATGGTTTTAGGGAAACAGGGGGTCATTTTATACAACCAGCAGAATCATGTGCTGAAACTTTTGCTATACAGTACCACCTGGTACCACTGTTCCCTTACATCAAAAACTCTGTATGGGAATAATAGAGTTACAGAGATCAGATTAGCCAAATATTTGCTAGGAGGTGCAGAGTTCCTCTGTGAAGGTCCCCAGCCTGAAGTGGTGCAGACAGGAAACGCTTTTCCACATGTGTGATCCAGCCCAGGGATGGAGAACCTCTGACTCTCCAGATGTGGCTGAACTACAACTCTCACCATCCCTCACCATCAGCCATGCTGGTTGGGGCTAATGGGAGTTGCATTCCAGCAGCATCTGGAGGGCGGCAGGTTCCCCATCCCTGGTCTAGCCTTAAGTATTAACAAATTTAAGAACCTGATCTCTTATCAGATAGATCTGCCATCTACAGACGATTCTCAGTTACATACTGTGAAAGAGTAATTTCCTTTCCCATCAACTCTAATTAGCGATTCAGACTAGTACCGGGGAATTCTGTCTTCTCCGTACTTTTTTATCTGCTCCATTGAAAAACTTGTAGAAATGCTGACAGAGATTTTGTTTACATAGTGTAGTGCGAAAGTTGCAGCGTAGCCTGGAGTGTGGTGACTTGGCTTTAGTTTGCTTTTTTCCCTTTCAGTTGTTCATGAGTGGTTACATATGCTGCAAAGTCATTGTTGGGATGCTGTGTGTACATTCCCTAGCAACAATTTCCAGATTTCATTTATTTACAACATTGTAGGCCGCCATTTTGGGCATCACGTGCCCAGAACGGCTAAAACAGCAACATTGCGATACATTCTTCACAATAGCAGATTGTGTGTGACATCCTCCTGGAAAGCGCATTTTATGCAAGTAATTTAAGTGAAGCAATAGTGTCCTCCTTCGTAGCAGTTAACAGAACACTTCCAAACTCACGTGAACTGCCAATAAACTCTCCAGGAAACAGGAGGGAGTGTAGGGAAGCACACAAACACGTGGGGTGATTCTGATCTCTTAAGCAAGTCTTAGAGATGGCACAGTTTTCCTTCTGCACCAGCCCCTTGCATGCAATTCATCCCATGAGACTGTGTAAGAAAAAACTCTTCTAAGTGCAGACTCTGGCAGGGTCCCAAGCTTGCCCCAGTGGTCAGCATCATCAGGCACTTGCCCAGATCTGCAACCCAGCGAAGCACACATTGCTGAGCCCAAGCCACCTGACGGATAGCTCAGTTAGCAGAACATGAGATTCTTAATCTCAGGGTTGTAGGTTTGAGCCCCACATTGGGTGAAATATTTCTGCATCACACAGGGTTGGATTAAATGACCCTCTTGGTCCCTTCCAACTCTGCAGTTCTATGATTCTACCTGATTTTTATTGTGGCTGACACCTGTTTACCTGCCCTCTCTGAGTGATAGGGCAAAGGAAAGGAGGAACAGCAGCCACTGTTTGCTTAATACTCTGTGATTGTGCAGATTGGACCTAGGAGAAGAGGGCTAAGCCAATGGGCAACAGTGTTGGTGGTTTGGAGAAAGAGGACACCCCACAGGAAGGGCCATCCACTGAGGGCACATTCCACAGCTACCGCCAAAGCTGGAACTTTCCTTATTTCCCCCGTAGTACAGTAGGACATATTCCAAATTCTCCATGGCCATCAGAGAGTAATTCAAATGCACATATCTTGCTGCCAGCACTTTGCATTTGCACCACCATTATGTATAGCTGGGCTTTATTAGGCATCAGCTTTGTGGCATTAGAAAAGCACATACTTAAAGCCAATGCAAATTAGTGCTCTCTTTTCATTGTGAGTTTACTACTGAAGTAGTACAACCTTCAAGAAACAAAGAAGTTTTCTAACAGCAAGAAAAAAGATTATAGCTGGAGTCTCTTCATTGAATGCTCAGAGATACTCTTAGTAGGCAATCAGTGTGAGGCATCCCCAGGGTTCCGGACAGAAATCTCTCCTTTACTCTGCCTGTTTTGTTACTAGTGGATTATGTGCATTAGCTGTTATCCCATTATATGGTCCATTTATAACTATTTGGTTCAGGTTTTGAAGCGACTGGGACAGAACTCTATGTAGTCCAGCTGAGATAAAGAACCCTTAAAACAAAAGGAAAAAGGAATGTACTTGGCTGCTCAAAAGACCTTCAGACCCACTTTCCCAGTCCTGTGCATTTTGCCTTAAGCAATTAAAAAAAAATAAAACATAAAAGGATAAACTATATCATGATTCTGTTTTGTAAATAGCCGTGCTTCATTGCATTCCCATCTAACTTTAAATTATTATTCTTAAGGCAGCAAATGATAACATTTGTCGGAACTATTCAAGTCCTCTTACCCTGAGTCCAAAAGTAGTAGAACACAATTCAGAAAATAGGCTGAAATAAAAATACAAAATAGATCAGAGCAACAAGTGTCTAACAATTTGAACAATTGAAGTAAAGGAATTGTTGTCATGCATGATGCTAAATGTTAGGAACATTCAAAGCTGCCTTATACCGAGTCAGCCCATTGGCCCATCTAGCTCAGTATTATCTGCACTGATTGGTAGCAGGTCTCCTATGTGTCAGACAGGATTCTTTCCCAGCCGTACCAGATGATATCTGGGACTGAACCTTTAGCTTGCAAAGAAGATGCTCTACCATTGAGCTGCGAACCTTTCTCATTTAATGTATTTAACTTTGGCCTCCTGTATTCATCACTTAAGAGTCCCTACATGTTTTTGGTTTTTTTAACAGTTCAGAAACTAACACACAGTGATTTATCCATAATAAATAGTGTCCATATAATACAAATACAGTCTGTGACACCCATGCTGCAGATTGGCCACCTAAACTTTGAAAGCAATTATTTTTTTCTTAAAAAAAAATAATACTTATCGTAGCATGTAACAAACTCGTGTAAACGAGTTTGTATTTTCATATTAGAAATGGTTGATATAAGCGTAAAGAGTCAAAAAGGAGCATACTATGAGATGTATACTATGGACATCTCAATATTGACTTTCCGTGTTTGTATGCTGGGCTTTGTTTTTTGTTTACTGTTGTTATCTGTAAAATATATATAAAAAGTGATGTTATCCAGAAAGGAGGATGCATCATTTCCCTCTAATTTTAGGCTCCAGTGTGCACAAGGGAGTTTATAAGAGAGCAGAAAGAGATGTGGAATTTCAGTATATGAAGTGAGACTCTTTATATCAGTTTTCGTTAAGAAAAATGGCTGCAGCTTGTAGGTCTAGCACTAGAAAACACTGGTATGGCTTATGGATGTTTATACAGATGAAGATAATAATAGCATTTTGTTAATATTTTATGAAGACTGATCTGCTGAATTGTAGAGAAATATGTAAGATGCTTTGCAATATTGAAGGAAAGAGAATACCTCTCTGAGGTATTCCGTTTAAAAAACTAGAAGGAGGATCAAGCCCTTGCAGGAGCATTCATACTGTGCTAGGTCAACACATGGATCTGATAAGAGTGTTTATTTCCATAAATTACTCCTACCTTTACAAGCTCCCTGACTCGTTTTGATAAATTGGGAGCAGACCATTTAATTTGCAGTACGTAAATATTTCTCTTTCCATTTGTGCGATGTTCAGGTATGCCCTTATAATAACTGCTGTGCGAAGACCTGCAAGCGATTCTCCACTGATGTGCAACTGAAAGTTTTTAGTTGATTGTCTACCACACAGCTCAGTGATACGTAGATTTATGTAATTTTGAGAGAGTTAAGCACATGCTTCTCTCTTGTCCATTGAAACCTATGGGATCAAATCAATGGGGCCAAAAACAAGAAAAGAAAAGAAGACCTCATTTCGATTGGATCATGCTTGCATTGTTTTCAGATGTTACTGCACCAGAGATTACAAGATGGTTAATTTATTTAATAGACAGAAATGCTGATCGCTCACTCTCCTCTCCCCTCGCTCACCATTATCTGCTCTGACCCCATCTTGAGCCACAGCATGGTATATGGTAACCGTCATGCTTCATTTGGGTGTATGTGATCTTGTGGAGATTAATTCTTGTAAACGTTTCAACAAAAGATTTTTAAAAAAATTGTCGTCGTCAAAATGATGCTCTTAGACGGTCATTTGACTTTAGAAGGCTATTCAGACTTTTGTCCCCATTCCTGAAACTCTGGATTCTGATTAGTGACGCTTTAATAAAGTCATTTGAAGTTCAGTGGACTGCATCTTCGACCATTTCTAATGTTTCTATGGTCACCAAGAAGCAACTCCCCATTCAAGCCTCTGTACCATCTTTTTTCAAGTGCACGCCTTTGAAAAGTAAAAGGATTCCTGGGTGTATATGGTTCTTCATTGGCTGCAGTTTCAAATGGCTACAGAAGCAGGTTCTCCCCCCCCCCCTTATAATTATTCCTTTTTGGTTCACTTTTTCCATTTTGATGTGACAGCAATTGACTAAACGTGTGCCTTTTAAATGACCAAAGTTTGGGGAAATCTTTAGGCTTTTTTTATTGCCGCAATTTTCTACAATGGAACATGGCAGAGAAAGGCTCTTTCCACTTGATTAGGTAGTAAGGCGAACACAGCCTGCGAGTAAAAAAATACCTTAACACCCCCTGATTTTCCCTCTTTTTATTTTCTCTCTATTTCCCTCCCCCCCTGAAAATTGACAAAGAAGAAAACTGTGCCTAATCAGCCACAATACGACCATTCAAGGAGACCTTAACTTTGCAGGAACTGATGCATTTTTGTATTGGCTAATGACTTGAGTGAACATTTACAACATGTGAAAACTGAGGGGGAAGAAAAATTATAGCCATCTCTTGGTTCACAGGAGCAAGGGATGCAGGTCATTGACTCGATTTTCATGGGAAGACTGACTCTCGCCTGCTCGCAGACTCCGGGGCTAAACAACCTGATATTGACAGCTGTGGCTTTGGGGAGGGCAGCCTGCAACAGCTTTGTACATTGGGTTGTTGAGGCAAAACAAGGCAAGATTTAAAAGAAAGCACTGAAAGAGAACAGTAGTTCTAGTGTCCGGGAGCCGCCGACTGGCTGCTTCTTATTAGAGGCTTTCCTATTGAAAATGTCATTTAGCATTGTGACAGGAGAAATATTTATCATTAAAGTGACAAATGCCACTTAATTAAATGGAAGGGGAGAAAATACAAAGTGCTCTCCGTATACTCTATTTGGAAACAAAATCAAGGAGGAGTTACTCTTTTTCCTGTGCACAGGGCAGAAACCGTAATTAGGTGTTTTTTGGGTTGTTGTTTTTTAGCAAAATAAATGCTGAATGTATGGTGAATGAAAAAGGATTTGAGCCAACATTTTCTATTTTAAAAATACTTACCTGGGGACAAGCCCCACTAAGTTCCATAGGGCTTACTTATGAGTGTTTACTCATTGTTAGAATTGTACTGTTAAATATTAGTGAACGCATTTGCTGGTTACAGCCTTGTTATTCTCTCTGTGTGTGACTTTCATCCACCCATAACATATCTGGGTTTTCTCACACACACCTCTAACACTCTTATGTTGTTTATTTTCTTCCTCATGCCTGAAAATGTGATATTTATAGGCCCAAGTCGTCTCCCTTGATCTTCATTCTTAACTAAATTTTCATCTTTCAGCACTTATGAGCCACTTTAGATATTTATCATTTCTCTTAGAGAATGCACCTGCCTGCACATTCAAACAGCATCAATGGATCTTATACCCTTTTGATTTTTCACAGTTCAGATCTGCAAGTGTAGGGGATGCTGGAAATGAGTCTGTATTTCTATCTGACTGGTGAATACTCATCAATATATTTGCCCTACCAGATTATTATATTGCTCATGCTTGTGACGTGTGGGTAAATTCCCATGAGTGTCAATAGTCCTATCAGTATAAAGTCTTTTTTCTTGCTCCTATTTGATGCCACATCTTTCTATCTAGTTTATACAAAGTTCTGAATACAGATATCCTCTGTGTAACAATTGCAAAGTATATAACTCATCAGCCTGCGAAGTGCATAGAAGATCAACCCGTGTTCTTGTTGCTGCTCTGAAATGTCTGAGTCAATTTGTCACAAGAAAGCACTGCAAAACGGAATTGGTTTGATCAGTAATCTTGACACTCTGCCTAAGAGATTATCTGTCTTTATCTGATTTGCAGGGTGACAATTTGTTAATCCTGAGAAGGAAAAATGTCACTTACAATTCTGATTCCATTTCCAATGAACATTTTTTTTGTACACAAAGGTGCCTTCTCTTCCTTCTAGCAGCCAAATGAACATGGCACAACATTCCAAGGACCAAATAGAACCACAAAACAAA